GCAGATCTCCTCTCCCAAGCTCGCGGCACGATCTGGCATCCCCACCCAGAGCGCTGGGCGCTTCATGCGTGGGTGATCAACGACTACCCGTTGCTTTGCCAGAAGGAGTGTTAAACACGATCATGCAGGCTAGAGCGGCTTCTACTAGAAGGCTCTATGCGTCTAAATGGTCTGTGTTCTCTAAGTGGTGCACCGACAGAAACGTGGACCCACGGTCATGCGAGGTTCCTTCCTTGCTAGTTTTTCTCCAAGAGATGCTGGATAAGGGCAGGTCCCCTTCCACTCTCAAGGTGTATGTGGCAGCCGTCGCGGCGTTCGCTGAACCCCGGCGTGGCCAGTCACTGGGCAAAGATGGCTTAGTCATCCGCTTCCTCAGGGCAGCTAGAAGGATGAACCCCTCACGCCCCCCGTCGGTGCCGATTTGGGACCTTTCCATAGTTCTCGAAGCTATGAAAGCCCCCCCATTCGAACCGTTAAACACCGTGGAGCTCAAATACCTTTCGCTCAAGACTATCTTCCTGCTCGCGCTCGCGTCAGTGAAGCGTGTGGGGGACCTTCACGCGCTGTCCAGCAGCGCTTCCTGTCTGGAGTTTGGGCCCAATGACTCCTTAGTCGTTCTCAAACCTAGACATGGTTATGTCCCAAAAGCGATTGGTACCCCATTCAGGGCACAAGTTATTTCTCTATCGGCTCTGCCTGCATCCGATAGCGAATCTGACTCTAATCTCCTGTGTCCGGTCAGGGCCCTGAGATTATACTTTACTCGCACTGCTCCGGTCAGACGAGCTGAGCAGCTTTTTGTTTCGTTCGGTGGGCGCACCAAGGGGTTGGCCGCCTCGAAACAGACTCTGTCCAGATGGATAGTTGATGCCATTGCAGCCGCATACGCGTCAAAAGACCTGCCATGCCCTCTGGGAATCAGGGCCCATTCCACTAGAGGCATGGCCTCATCGTGGGCTTGGTCCAGCGGAATTTCCATTCATGATATTTGTGTGGCAGCGGGATGGGCTTCCCCCTCCACCTTTATCAGATTTTACTATCTGGAAGTTCCCGCCTTGCAGGCTAAACTACTAGCAGTCTAGTATGTTACAGCTCTTCTGGTTGAGCTGCACTATAGGGAGTTATTCACGCAGACCGGTCTCGTTCTGTCCCTCCTTATTATGTGCTTATGTACTTCACAATCCCCGGCCTGCTCCGCTGGCCTTTGTCATATGTACATATTTTATTCCCACTCATAAGGGTTCCCCGGGGTCCCCCCTGGGACTCATAGTGGATGCTTAGCACGCACGGCGTTGACCAGGTGTTCCCGCAGCGTAAGCTAGCTTACGCAATACGAGAGAACCTCTCGTAAGAGAACGAATCGGTTACGTAACGTAACGTAACCTCGGTTCTCTCTAGATGAGGGAACGAGTATTGCGTTCCTGGCCGTGCTTGTGCTACTAGCGTTCTCGCTTCATTCTATGAAAACCAGAATTTACAGCCTGAGAGGCGAATTTATACTCTCTGGCCACGCCCGTTTCGGCGGGCTCTGACGCAATGAGAGCAGGTCAGACTCTCATTGGCCGAGAGTTCATTCGTGTCTCCTCATAGGCTTAAGCAGTTCCCTGTGAGCAAGCCAATGAGCTGCTAGCTAGCCTGCTCATGCTCTGCTGCAGCTGAACTGCGTTGTGAATAGATACAAAATTATAGGATAATTTTTGGCTTCAATTTCTCAGAAAAGATTAATCTTTCCCATAGCGTAAGCTAGCTTACGCAATACTCGTTCCCTCATCTAGAGAGAACCGAGGTTACGTTAGGTAACCGATTCGTTTTCTTAATTCACACAGTTATGGAGTTTCCTTTGTTGTGCCTTTCTCGTTTTGCTATTATGGAGAATATGAATTCTGAACTACGCAGGTAACCATAAAACATTAAATTTAACATTAGTCACGCAATGCTGATGTTGTTAACATGAACAATTTGAGAACAAACTAGGCTATAATTTGCACGGTTGCTGTAAATCGCGTTGATTAAATCTAACGAAGCTTATCATGTCGAATGCTTTTTCCTTAGTTGGTCAGAACAAAAATGGATGTTACTTACTTGTTCAGAAGACATTTTCTTATGAAAATTCTTATGTTGGTCAAACTTTCAAAAAGTGAATCTGTGATTCTGTATGCCAGTATCCACACAGCGCGGTGACTGACAGCAGCACTCGCCTCAAAACACTGTGTTCATCCGCGCTGTTTCATGCCGATTTACAACCCACGTAAAGATAATAATTCCGCGAATCACTGCAGTTACAGATTTCGAACAGAGAGATGGCGACAAAGAGGAAAAGTTCCGGACTGCAGCTTTAACCAATACATTGCGAATAAAAGGCATTTATCTTAAAACAAGGTTAGTGCCCCATGAACTTTTGTCGTTTATATGAGCATATACAATCGCTTAGTACAGCCGTAGCTGGTTTTAAGTCTTCCATGTATGGTTACGTTTTTATGGTTTATACCCCAACTGTCAATGGAGAAATTGTATTGAATTTTTACTTCCGGCACCGGCTGTGGGCGGGACTGTGATGCTCTATTGAGGTTTTTCCTTTTAGAGGGACAGCCCATCCTAAACAAGGCAGCTATACATTCCCTTGTATAAAGGCGTAATTTATATTAATTTAATACTAAACTAAATATTTTGTATCTGTTAAGCTACATTCATTTCTCTTTTACTCTCAGTAGCCTATTGTTCTATATGCATCATTTAAAAACTGTACTTTATTTTAATCTAATTTCATACAGGAGAGAAGCCTTATCGCTCCATCTGTGGCCAGAGATTCGCTTAATCAGGGTTTTTAGACCCACCAGAAGAAACACGAGAACAAACTTTATTTCTGCAGTGACTTTCATCATTCATGATGTGTGCTACATTTCTAACCTACAGAAGACCACATAAGAAAACAAATCATGCTTTGGTAAATAATTATGACTTAAAAAGTCATAATCATGAGATAAAACATGATAAAAAGTAAAAATCAGAAATTGACATACTGAGTCAATAACTTTTTAATCTGCTGTCTAATGAATGATATATCTATAATATATTACATAATTATGAGATTAAAGTCAAAATAATGACTTTCTATGTCATAATTATGACTTCTCTTTGACCTTGCATACACATAACACACTATAGACTTCTATAATTCAATGTTAGGCTGCATATATTAGGTCAGCCGGAACCGGGAACACTTCCCTTAAAGGGATAGTTCACTTTGAAATTATTTTTGGTATGTTTTAGCTTACCTCAAGGGCATCCAAGATGTAGGTGTCTTTGTGTCCACAGTATTTTCAATTTTAATATTTTTAGGTCAAACCGTTCTTGTCTGTCAGTCATATAATGCAGGTCTATGGTCACCACCTCAAAGAGCAGCACAGAGAAGTTCAAATTAAACATGATTTAATGACTCGTAAATGTAAGTACACATTGATGGCCTAAGACACGAAACGAGCGGTTTGTGTGAGAAAACCAACAGTATTTATATAGTTTTTACCTCTTGTAAACACAGCCAAGTGATCTGAGGGCGCCGGCGCTTCGGTCTTTTCCGGAAAGCGCCGGCAGTGATCTCTCGCGCGTGTACGTCGCTCATTGTTTACACAGAACAGAGATTGTAGGTAAGACGGCTAATTAAAAGGGTACTAATTTGCGCTTATTCGGGATGTTTAAACCGTCGTAAAAGAAAACAATTCCAAAAAAATAAAAAATAAAACAATTGTATGAGTGACGTACACGCGCGAGAGATCACTTCCGGTGCTTTCCGGAAAAGACCGAAGCGCCGGCGCCCTCAGATCACTTGGACCTGGCTGTGTTTACAAGAGGTAAAAACGATATAAATACTGTTCGTTTTCTCACACAAACCGCTCGTTTCGTGTCTTAGGCCATCAATGTGTACTTACATTTACGAGTCATTAAATCATGTTTAATTTGGACTTCTCTGTGCATGCTCTTTGAGGTGGTGACCATAGACCTGCATTATATGATTAAAACAAATCCTGTATTGTATACAGTCAGCGTTCTCACAGATTCGCGTTTTTGAAGTTTACGCGGAGATGATAACCTTTTTCCAATATTATTCAATGCTTGCACCTGTTATCACTGTAAAGCTGCTTTCAAACAATAATAATACTTATTATAGAAAGCATAATAAGTAATGCTTAGTACATTACTATAGCCTACTGTATTTTATAGTTAAAGTGTCTGTTTAAAGTGGAATGTATAAAAAAATATAATAATTATAAACACTATTTATTTTTTCGATTTGGGGAGAAATATTACCTTGACATTTCCGTGTGAGACACTAAATCAAGTGCTTGCTTAACAACACACACACGTAGCCTCAGACATACAAGTGTTTCACTAATATCACTCCTTGGGTATTACTAAAGTATTTTTATGTATGTAATGGAAAAAGGTTAAACTGATAATTAGCTGTTCGAACGCCCCACCCTTTTTTTGTGTGTGTGTGTGTGTTTTTTTGTATTGCATAGCACAGGGATGGGCAACGTCCTGGAGGGCCACACTGTCCTACAGAGTTTAGCTCCAACCCTGAAAAAAATCACCTGCCTGTAACTTTCTAGTAATCCTGAAGACCTTGATGAGCTTGTTCAGGTGTGTTTGATTAGGGTTGAGACAATGGCCCTCCAGGACTGAAGTTGCCCATCCCTGGCATAGCAGAACTACATACACATACAGAGGATGGATCACAATGTATTAAACTATCTATTACGGTACATTCAAAATAGCATCAAAGGGAACAGAATAAAACCATAAAAAAAACTCCAAAAAGAAAAGGATTCAAAAAGTCTATTTCGCTTTTTTATTTCTTGCATCTTTTAATGACTCAATATAACGCTTTCTCTAACGCCCCACCCGTAGCCTCTCGGTCGAGTATTTGATTGACACCAGCAGTGGCCAATAGGAACGCGCGGTTTGCACACAAGGGCTGTTCTTCATAAGTTTATGGTGGTCTGCTGACCGGATAGGAAAACTTTCTGCCTGCCTTCGTTTTTCTCTCTGTCTGACAACTGGAGTTTGACATCTTGAGTCGGTTTTGTTAGTGTTAAAGCGGTTTATTTTGAGTTATGAAGTGATCGGTTGAGTTTCTCTGGGGTTTGACCGAAGCTAACGTTAGTCATGGGGAACCGCGGGATGGAGGACTTGATTCCCCTGATTAATAAACTGCAGGACGCCTTCAGCTCCATCGGCCAGAGCTGTAACCTGGAGCTGCCGCAGATCGCGGTGGTGGGCGGCCAGAGCGCCGGGAAGAGCTCGGTGCTGGAGAACTTCGTGGGCAGGTGATGCGGCTTTTACATGACAAAACACAGTCTTTTGTGTAAACAACACTGAAATACGACAAATACTTATTTCAATTTGAGAGAAAAATGTACATGAACTTCAAAATGTGTGCCGCACCATTAAACTCAAATGATCCGTTGAAGCGTTCAATGATCAGAATCTGTCTAGTCAAAAATGAACCATTTCAGAGTGTTGCTGTGCTCTAAAAGTGATAGTTAACTCAAAAATTTACATTAAAGGCCAGTTCACACCAAGAACTATAACTAGATCGAAATATAGACCGGTAACAGCACAGAGGAACGATATCGTAACGTTTTTTTTTTTTTTTTTCAGCTGATAAACAATAAAAAAAATATTTACAGCCAATCAGAATCCAGCTCTCGAGCATTTAAAGCGGCAGAACACATAAACTTCAGAGTGCTTAATATAAATAAAACGTTATCGGGAAGAGCTCGGTTACTTCGTGGGCACCCAGCTGGCATTTTAACGTTGGGACCAAGGTTGAATCAACATTGAATTATGTTTCGATTTTGCAAATCGAATCAACGTTGATTTTGCGACATTGTTTCACCGTTGACATCATAATGTTGTTTCACCGTTGATGTCGCGACGTTGTTTCACGGTCTCTTCTTTCAATATGGGTGAATAAAGTTTGTATGTCGAAGTTGAACCAACGTTGAATTATGCTTCGGTTTTGCAAATTGAATCAACGTTGCTATCGTGACGTTGTTTCACTGTCTTACCTTTCAACATGGGAGAATACAATTGTACATTCAATTACAACGTAGTTTGAATTTGGAACACGATCATGCCAATGCTAACTGATTTAGTGATTAACTGTACTGTAAGTTAGCCTACACTAAAAAATTGTTTAATGTCAAATGACTGACAGCAATGGCTTGATTACAAACACATTTAATAAAGAGTTAGCACATGCTCAAGATTGTAAAACAAGTTTTATTTTGGAAAACAAAACAAAAAAGTCTAAAAATACTTTCTACATCTCAAACTTTAACTTGCATTGTTTTCAACTTAATGTTAAAGTAAAGTGCAAATCTGAATGGAATATTTAAAAGACAGTTTTTGCACAATTACAGTAAAACTTAGGTGAAATACATTTAATATTTAAAATGTACAGTAACAGTAGAAAAAGCTTAGCATCTCAATAAAATGCGACAGCCTTGTGCATAGCTCTAGCAGAGTCCCAGCTCGAGATCCGTTCCGAAGAAAAGCATTTAATTAAAAAATATATATTTTGCATTATTCTAAATGTCTTTACTGTCACTTTTGATCAATTTAATGCGTCCTTTCTAAAGAAAAGTATTTCTAATTTCTTTAAAAAAAAAAAAAAAATCATATTGACCCCAAACTTTTGACCGGTAGTGTACATTTTTATTAAATTGAGTAAAATCAAATCATATCACAAAAGGTCAATGAATCTGTACCAGAAGTGATAGCAGCTAAAGAAAACTCCTCCACCAAATTGCCAGTAATCATCTGGATCCTTGGTGAGTCTGGAAAGGGAAACAAGAAATGATTCACTGAAAAGCCCTAAAAAAAGCAGGATTTTTTTTACCATTCCATAAACAATCTTAAAATGTATTTAATACTACAAACGTTTGCCATTATAACACATTCACACAACATGAACAGAGTACTGTCATCTTTGAGACTGTTAGTTATTACATGATTAAAATGTAAACGTACACTTAAAGGAGAACTCCGGCGCAAAATGAACCTTTGGTCTAATTACACATTGTTACCTAGTCAACCGTTATCTGAGATTTGTTTTCATGATTATCGAATGTAAATAGTTTTATCTCTAAAAACAGTTTAGCCTATAAAGCTAGTATAACGCTAGTATATTGGGCATAGATCAATGACAAATAAAAATCGCTTGTTAATACCACTAACAAGGCTGAAAATAGCCCCACACTAACACGGTAGCATAATGAGGGTCCCTACCTTCAAACCGAAGCATTGAGAACTTTGTCAGTGTCCAGACAGTTTAATAAGAAGATATTTTAAACATACAGTCAACTTCGCGTATACAGGCAGAAGCCATCTTTGAAATACAGCCTTTACCAGTCGATCTACGAACGCCGATCCAAGCCTGCTGTTCGCGCTCACCTTATCACAACTCATAGCTATTTTGAGCCTTGTTAGTGGTATTAACAAGCGATTTTTATTTGTCATTACACTATGCCCAATATACTAGCGTTATACTAGCTTTATAGGCTAAACTGTTTTTAGAGATAAAACTATTTACATTCGATAATCATGAAAACAAATCTCAGATAACGGTTGACTAGGTAACAATGTGTAATTAGACCAAAGGTTCATTTTGCGCCGGAGTTCTCCTTTAAAGCATGGCAATCCCATCAGAAAAATGTGTATCATAGAAAGGGAAGCACACAAAAAAGCCAATTCGCCTTTGGCTAAGCCCCGCCCCCCTTAGTTACTGTTGATGCGGCTTTTACATGACAAAACACAGTATTTTGTGTAAACAGCACTGAAATACGACACATACTTATTTCAATTTGAGAGAAAAATGTACTTGAACTTGAAAATGTGTGCCCTAACATTAAACTCAAATGATCCATTGAAGTGATCAGAATGTCACTGCTAGTCAAAAATTAAAGGGATACTCCACCCAAAAATGTACATTCTGTCATCATTTACCCACCCTCAAGTTGTTGCAAACCTGTGTGAGTTTCTTTCTTCTGCTGAACACAAAGGAAGATATTTTGAAGAACGATTGGAACCAAAGGGTTGTTTGGCACCCATAGGCGTAGCCACGGGTGTGCCAGGGTGTGCCTGCTGTGCCACCCACAGTGGCAGCCGGCACACCTAAATATAGATGCAGAATTATTTTTTAAAGTCTTAATAAAAATGTTTTTTTAAACTTGGACTATTGTTGTTTACTTACAATATTTGTAAGTTAAAATTTAATTTAATTTTTAAATTATTATCGTGAAGGCGACATTCGGACTGCCAACCAATCCGCAAACAGCCTCTGACTTTCTGACGGTTGCGCTGTTGAGGCTCGCGCAGCCTCATGAGGAGAGATGGAAACAAAGGAGCGCAGTTCACACAAAGAAACTTAATGAACATACATTGGTTAAAAAAAAATGTATGTAATGCGGAGTTTTTATATTTATAATATGATACAGTTAAGCAACATCACACAACCACGAGTGCTGAATACCATCAAGATTGAAAATATACACATTGATTTCATATGGCAGTTCAATAAAAAAGTAATTAATATCAAGTCACTTACATTTTAGACAATAATGTTTTTGTTCTATTTGAACAGCGAAAATAGTTCCAATCAAAGATCACAGCAGAACCACAGCGCATCTCATCGGAATAATAACCGCATTACTGAATGATTCAGCGCTTTAACCGAATCGGTTGAGTCAAAGATTCAAAGGCCCATTAAACAACTGCCTCATTCCTGAACAATTCAGTCGTTTGAACGAATCATTTGAATAAATGACTCAATAACTCACTCATTAAGACGGTCACCTGCCGCCCCCTACTGGTGGTTTAGTTTCGTGTTTAAAAGGCTATCATTCTTTTCCATATTTCATATTTGTATATTCAAAAAAATATTTAAAACAATCTCATAACATTATTTAATGCAGTTGTAATGTTTCACTGTAAATTAATTCATTTGATTGGTAACAGCCATATAGTGTCTTATAATTCCAATTGAATTTATTGATCAAATTTAAGAAAGATGAAACATATTTAAAACGATTAGGGAAAAATGCTCTTTATAAAGGTTAAAAATGCATATTTAAATATGTAAAAGCTGACTGAACACTGATGAGAATATTGCTTCAGAATAAATTATAATTTACAACACAACAAAAAATATTTTTCCGTATAAGCAATTTTTTTTTACTTGGACAAGTGAATGACCAATTTACTTGTTCGAAGGACAAGCACATGAAAAGCCTTAATGTTGAGCCCTGAGTTATATTATATATAGGTTATGTGGCGAGCCTGAGTAGTTTCACACATCAGCCCAGTCTATTCTGTAAAGTTAGTGATATGCCGGGTCAGGTTTTTACTTGCATATTAATCTGATAATAAATGTGGCACACCCAGTTTTTCTTATGCACACCCAGAGATGATCTTCTGGCTACACTGATTGTCTTCCATAGTAGAAAAAAATATATACTATGGAAGTCAATGGTGCCAAAGTTCCAATCGTTCTTCACAATATCTTCCTTTGTGTTCAGCAGAAGAAAGAAACTCATACAGGTTTGCAACAACTTGAGGGTGAGTAAATGATGACAGAATTTTCATTTTTGGGTGGAGTATCCCTTTAACCATTTCAGACTCTTGCTGTGCTCTAAAAGTGGTAGCTAACAAAAAAAAATTACATTTAAGGCCCGTTCACACCAAGAACTATCGAAATATAGACCGGTAACAGCACAGAGGATCAATATCGTTGGAATCACTTTCTCAACATTTTTTTTTTCAGCTGATAAACAATACAAATATTGACAGCCAATCAGAATCCAGAGCGAGAGCTCGAGCATTTAAAGCGGCAGAACACATAAACTTCAGAGCGCTTAATATAAATAAAACCTTATCGACATTACGATATCGTTGTATTTAAAGGCATAGTTATCGTTGTTGATGTGTTGGTGCCCTTAAAGGGATAGTTCACTCAAAAAAATGTTATTCCAAACCTGTATGAATTCCCTTCTGCTGGAACACAAAAAAAGATATTTAGAAGAATATGGGTAACCAAACAGTTGATGGACCCCATTTAACTTCCATAGTATGGAAAGAAATGTGAATGGGGATCATTTACTGACCTTTATGTTGTTACAGACCCAGATGTTTTAAGACATTTCATGCAGATCTTTTCTATACAACAACAATAATTCATAGTGACCACCATGGCATACTCCAAAAAGCACCTCAAAAGTGTCAGTCCATACGTCTTATTTTATAGGGAGAATGACAGCATGCGGGTTTGGGAAGGACTGAGTGTGAGTGAATGAAGATATAATCTGTGTATCACTGCAGATCATGAGCGTCTTCATCCTCAGAGGCTCAAATGTGTGGATTTCGGTGTCTGAATGCTTCACTAAGAAGAACTAACTGTGTGATTGAGACAGATTTCAGCGTGTGTGGACTTGACATCTTCAGGATTCCTGCTCACACACACACACACACATATGTGTACGCTTCTATTATGCATGGAGGCTTTGGTCTGGGAAGTGAAAAACAATATTTCCTCTTTTCTTTCAGGGTGTGTGTTTCCAGTACTTTGATGAACCAGAGAATTATGATGTGTCATTTCATAAACGAATCAACCCTTCACTGACAGTTTCTAAAAAACTTCTAATGGGTGTTTTGTTTTCTGTATGTTTTATTACATCTTAATGCCACAGAAGCTGACATTGTGTTAAACCACAAGAAAACAAAAAGTTATTGTTTTAATCCATAGAGATGTTCACCCGTCTGTGTGTCTGTGTGATTCAGAGACTTTCTCCCGCGGGGATCCGGCATCGTCACTCGCAGGCCTCTGATTCTCCAGCTAGTCAACAGTAAAGCAGGTAAAACACGCATTACACCTTCTGAACATCCAGTCTCTCACACTCAAGGTGTGTTCACGCTTTTCAAACCGTCGAAATGATTACCTGTGTTAATTTACGTCATGCCCAAAAATTGTATCACAATATTGCAATAATGCATAATGATGATGCTGACAATTCAGCTTTTTCAATTTTCGTCTTACAATATATTCACATCGAAAATATTTATTTTAAATAGTAATAATATTTCACTGTTTTTACTGCAGTTTTTAGCCTTGGTGAGCCAAAGTGACTTCTTTCAAAAACAATAAAAACAGTAAACGCTAGTGTATAATATATAAAAACAAAATCACTAAAGAAAAGAAAAATGACTAAAATTCAAATGAATACAGAAAATAAAAATTCTAAACATGAGTAACTTTAAGATAGTGTATATATGATTCTCCAGTGATCTCTCTGTGTTTCTCCAGAGTACGCCGAGTTCCTGCACTGTAAGAGCCGTAAGTTCGTGGACTTTGACGAGGTTCGGCTGGAGATCGAGGCCGAGACGGAGCGAATCACCGGATCCAATAAGGGAATCTCTGCGGTGCCCATCAACCTGCGCGTTTACTCGCCGAACGGTAACTTCAGCTCACTCTTCCACAATAAACTCCCTCTCTCTGTCGTTGCTGCAGTTAAACCTCACATTTCCATGATGAGTTATGTGTGTCTGTGTATTTATAGGATAATTTGAACCGTATTAATCTCACTTTGCAAAAGCAACACGGTTATTGAACTGATCTGAATCAACATAATGACGCTTCAACCGTTGCTCTCTCTCAGTGCTGAATCTGACGCTGATCGATCTCCCCGGCATGACGAAGGTGGCGGTGGGAGACCAGCCGACGGACATCGAGTTCCAGATCCGGTAAGAGCTGTGGGTCTGATGGCCTACAGGACCCGGTTGAAACAATGGCTACGTTTACATGCATACACATAATCCGTCAGTGATGGGACTGACGGCTCAGTGGGACTGAAAGCCTTCATGAATACGCCTTAACCGACCCGATTGAGCTCGATCCCAACGAGATTTCCATCGGATTGAAAGGGAAGGTTTATTCCTTTACTAACCCGATCGAGAGAACATGTAAACACTCGATCGGACTGAAAACCGAAACCGAAAGGACTGCGCATGTGCAACGACATAGAAATAGCGTACTGTAGAAATAGTGTAATGACGCAGAAATAGCGTACCGGTACTGTAGAAATAGAGTAATGATGTAGAAATAGTGTAATGGCGTGATAGCGTGATGCCGTAGAAATAGCATGATGACGTAGAAATAGCGTGATGACGTAGAAATAGCGTGATGATGTAGAAGTAGCGTAATGACGTAGAAATAGCGTAATGACGTAGAAATAGCATAATGACGTAGAAATAGCATAATGACGTAGAAATAGCGTGATGTAGAAGAAATAGCGTGATGACGTAGAAATAGCGTGATGACGTAGAAATAGCGTGATGACGTAGAAATAGCGTGATTATGTAGAAGTAGTGTAATGACGTAGAAATAGCATAATGACGTAGAAATAGCGTGATGACGTAGAAATAGCGTAATGATGTGCGTGATGACGTCGAAATGGTTTAATGATGTAGAAATAGCGTAATGACGTAGAAATAGCGTGATGACATAGAAATAGCGTGATGACATAGAAATAGCGTGATGACGTAGAAATAGCGTGATTATGTAGAAATAGCGTGATTATGTAGAAGTAGTGTAATGACGTAGAAATAGCATAATGACGTAGAAATAGCGTGATGACGTAGAAATAGGGTGATGACGTAGAAATGGTTTAATGATGTAGAAATAGCGTAATGATGTGCGTGATGACGTAAAAATAGCGTAATGACGTAGAAGTAGTGTAATGACGTAGAAATAGTGTTATGACGTAGAAGTAGAAATAGCGTAATGTCGTAGAAATAGCGTGATGACGTAGAAATATCGTAATGACGTAGAAATAGCGTAATGTCGTAGAAATGGCGTGATGTAGAAATGTCGTGCTGACGTAGAAATAGCGTAATGATGTAGAAATGGCGTGATGACGTAGAAATAGCGTAATGACGTAGAAATATCGTAATGACGTAGAAATAGCGTAATGACGTAGAAATGGCATGTGAAATGTCGTGCTGACGTAGAAATGGCGTATTGATGTAGAAATGGCGTGATGACGTAGAAATAGCGTAATGACGTAGAAATAGCGTAATGACGTAGAAATATCGTAATGACGTAGAAATAGCGTAATGTCGTAGAAATATCGTAATGACGTAGAAATAGCGTAATGTCGTAGAAATAGCGTAATGTCGTAGAAATAGCCTAATGGCGTAGAAATAGCGTGATGACGTAGAAATAGCGTAATGACGTGTGGACTCTCATCCACACAGGCGACTGGTTTTGGGCGCGGGGTTTTACTGCGTGAGCAATATAAGCAGCGGCACAACGGTTCATACGCTCATCGTCTCCAAATTATGACCAGAAATGGATAAATATTAAGTCTGCTGTTTAAAACAAATAAAGCACCAGTGTAGGAGGATAGTTATTATGCGCAGACAGCAGGAAACTGTATATTCGTGTAGTGAGCGCATGTCAAAATATCTATTCCGATTTGAAGCGTGTGACACATAAACACACACATCGACCCGATCATGTTCAGCGCTCATGTAAACACTACACTCAGATTCATCAATCGCAATCAATTCAGTCCGACTGACGCCTCTTCTGTGTGTGTGTGTGTGTGTGATCAGAGACATGCTGCTGCAGTTCATCTCCAGAGAGAACTGCCTGATCCTGGCCGTCACGCCGGCCAACACCGACCTCGCCAACTCTGACGCGCTGAAGATCAGCAAAGAGGTCGATCCCCAGGGTGAGGCGCTGGCCGTGAACAAACAGTAGCGTTCGCTCAGTTCTCTGTTCATGATACACACAGGGGTCGTTTGAATAAGGAAAGCGATATCTTAGTCATAATATCCTTTCAATGGTGAAAGTTACCAGTCATTGCATGTGCTGCACTTTATTTCTTCTACCACTTTATTCGCTTTTTAGAATTGGAAAGATAATAAAGATAATGTTTGATAAGTGAGATCTCTGATTGTAGTCCTTGAAAACCAAAAAAGTAGTGCTTGAAAAGTCCCTGAAAGTCCTGGAAATTAATTTTACAGTTTCTGAACGAACCCTGTATAGTTTTATTTTCAGAAATAACGGAAATGTTAGCACACACAAAATGTGTTGGGTCGGGATGTGACTGAGAAACCAAAGCCTGCTTGACCTTTGACCTTTGACCTCTGGCCTGCAGGTCTCCGCACCATCGGCGTGATGACCAAACTGGACCTGATGGATGAAGGAACGGACGCCAGAGACATCCTGGAGAACAAGCTTCTGCCGCTGCGCAGAGGTGCGCACGCATGGCCTCATGGGAAACCACACTAACACCAACACAAACATGTCCTAAACGATGAATAACATGTAGTATGAAAAACTTAAACTTATTTTAGTACATCAAGTTACACTAAATGAACATGAGAAACTAGCTGAAATAAAATAACTCAAACTGAAATAAACTTAAATGTATAAATAAAAACTATAGACCTTAAAAACTGACTAAAGCACAACAAAATGACTAAAATGTGAACTAAAATTAAAATGACATCATAAAAATAAAACCTAATAGAGCGCAACTCAATAGATTTTGATTGATTTTAAACAGTAAGCCGTTAGAGTGAGCGGCGTGTCTGTTGATCTACGCTTCTGCTAATGCTAAGGCCGTTAGCCTGCGTTATTTCAGCTTGGTTTTAGAAATACCATGTGATCCGGTGAAAGACGACATTACCCATGAAGATAGACGGACAATTCCACCAATCAGAGAGTCGGAACAAGCAAAACACGACAAAAGATCTCATTAGCTCCGCCCACTCCCATCTCTCTGCGCTCTCAAAATACTTTAATATCTGAAAGCTCCACACGGAGCTAATGATGACGCTCGACACACACTCGTTCATGATGACGCTCGACACACACTCGTTCATGATGACGCTCGACACACACTCGCTTATGATGACGCTCGACACACACTCGTTCATGATGACGCTCGACACACACTCGCTTATGATGACGCTCGACACACACTCGTTCATGATGACGCTCGACACACACTCGCTTATGATGACGCTCGACACACACTCGTTCATGATGACGCTCGACACACACTCGTTCATGATGACGCTCGACACACACTCGCTTATGATGACGCTCGACACACACTCGCTTATGATGACGCTCGACACACACTCGTTCATGATGACGCTCGACACACACTCGTTCATGATGACGCTCGACACACACTCGCTTATGATGACGCTCGACACACACTCGTTTATGATGACGCTCGACACACACTCGTTCATGATGACGCTCGACACACACTCGTTCATGATGACGCTCGACACACACTCGTTCATGATGACGCTCGACACACACTCGTTCATGATGACGCTCGACACACACTCGCTTATGATGACGCTCGACACACACTCGTTCATGATGACGCTCGACACACACTCGCTTATGATGACGCTCGACACACACTCGTTCATGATGACGCTCGACACACACTCGCTTATGATGACGCTCGACACACACTCGTTCATGATGACGCTCGACACACACTCGCTTATGATGACGCTCGACACACACTCGCTTATGATGACGCTCGACACACACTCGTTCATGATGACGCTCGACACACACTCGTTCATGATGACGCTCGACACACACTCGTTCATGATGACGCTCGACACACACTCGCTCATGATGACGCTCGACACACACTCGTTTATGATGACGCTCGACACACACTCGCTTATGATGACGCTCGACACACTCGTTTATGATGACGCTCGACACACACTCGCTTATGATGACGCTCGACACACACTCGCTCATGATGACGCTCGACACACACTCGTTCATGATGACGCTCGACACACACTCGCTTATGATGACGCTCGACACACACTCGTTTATGATGACGCTCGACACACACTCGTTCATGATGACGCTCGACACACACTCGCTTATGATGACGCTCGACACACTCGTTTATGATGACGCTCGACACACACTCGCTCATGATGAGGCTCGACACACACTCGTTCATGATGACGCTCGACACACACTCGTTCATGATGACGCTCGACACACACTCGTTCATGATGACGCTCGACACACACTCGTTCATGATGACGCTCGACACACACTCGTTCATGATGACGCTCGACACACACTCGCTCATGATGACGCTCGACACACACTCGTTTATGATGACGCTCGACACACACTCGCTTATGATGACGCTCGACACACACTCGCTTATGATGACGCTCGACACACACTCGTTTATGATGACGCTCGACACACACTCGTTCATGATGACGCTCGACACACACTCGCTTATGATGACGCTCGACACACACTCGTTCATGATGACGCTCGACACACACTCGCTTATGATGACGCTCGACACACACTCGTTCATGATGACGCTCGACACACACTCGTTCATGATGACGCTCGACACACACTCGTTCATGATGACGCTCGACACACACTCGCTTATGATGACGCTCGACACACACTCGTTTATGATGACGCTCGACACACACTCGTTCATGATGACGCTCGACACACACTCGTTCATGATGACGCTCGACACACACTCGTTCATGATGACGCTCGACACACACTCGTTCATGATGACGCTCGACACACACTCGCTTATGATGACGCTCGACACACACTCGTTCATGATGACGCTCGACACACACTCGCTTATGATGACGCTCGACACACACTCGTTCATGATGACGCTCGACACACACTCGCTTATGATGACGCTCGACACACACTCGTTCATGATGACGCTCGACACACACTCGCTTATGATGACGCTCGACACACACTCGCTTATGATGACGCTCGACACACACTCGTTCATGATGACGCTCGACACACACTCGCTTATGATGACGCTCGACACACTCGTTTATGATGACGCTCGACACACACTCGCTTATGATGACGCTCGACACACTCGTTCATGATGACGCTCGACACACACTCGTTCATGATGACGCTCGACACACACTCGCTCATGATGACGCTCGACACACACTCGTTTATGATGACGCTCGACACACACTCGCTTATGATGACGCTCGACACACTCGTTTATGATGACGCTCGACACACACTCGCTTATGATGACGCTCGACACACACTCGCTCATGATGACGCTCGACACACACTCGTTCATGATGACGCTCGACACACACTCGCTTATGATGACGCTCGACACACACTCGTTTATGATGACGCTCGACACACACTCGTTCATGATGACGCTCGACACACACTCGCTTATGATGACGCTCGACACACTCGTTATGATGACGCTCGACACACACTCGCTCATGATGAGGCTCGACACACACTCGTTCATGATGACGCTCGACACACACTCGTTCATGATGACGCT